TCTGGTGGCCCAGTGCATCTCCCCAGCTCTGCCCTTGCTCCCTCTGAACCCTCTTCTCTGGCTCCCCAAAGCCCTACGGAGCCACACAGACGTCCCCAAAATGCACAGGGGACGGGGTGGGGAGGGGACACATCAACACTAACCACACCGGGCCGCTCAGCTGCGCTACTCTACACAGCAGCACATGCACAGCAGCCGCCTGGGCGCAGGGGAGGCCCAGGCTCTGCCTTCTCCTCCAGCCCCAATAAATGGCACCAGTTACACCCTTGGGGCACCGGTTTGGGAGGGGGTGGAGGGATACCCCTCAGTCAGGCAGTAGCTGCTTCAGCTCCTCCTCATTCAGGCCATTGGTGGTGACGATGTGGTCCAGCTGCTTCATGTACCGTTCCAGGTCCTGCATGAAATGGGGGATGCGGGCCTTCTCCAGCACCCCAAATTTCTTCAGCCGATTCACATCTTCATAGGAGACCTGATGGGAAGGAGGAGCTGGGGTCAGCCCCAACCATCGAAGGAGGACATTTGGCCCCCTTGCAGCCCATCTGGGTCACCCACCCCACTGCCCAAACACCCCTCCTGCCTGTGGGGAGGCATTGGTAAAAACCACACACGATAGGGTTGTTTTCAGGAAGCTGAGGGAGCCCGTGTGAGCTTTGGGCTGGGATGGAGCTCTGGGATCAGCCTCTCCCTTGCCCCCAGCCATTACCTTTCCAAGCGCAGCCAGCAGTGGGAAGTTGATGGTCCGCCGATGGCGCAGGATGCGGAGAATCCCATCCAGGTAGACCTGGTCCTTACTGAAACAGCCTGGAAGAGCGAGAGGTCGGGGAGTGGGAGTCTGGCCCCCCACTGCCCTCTGCTCGCCCTAACATCTACCAACTGCAATAACTGAGCCACTGGACCAGGGTGACACGAGTGTGCCAGAGCTCAGGCATTGTTGGTGCCATGGCCAGACCTGCTGGGTCCCAAAGGATGAGGGCTGGGGAGCAGCGCCAGGGACCGCAGAAGCAGCTGGGTGCAAGAGCCCCAAACCTCTTACTGGGGTGCTTTCACCTTTCCTCCCAGTTTGGTTGTTTTTTTTTAATGATAAACCACTGCAACAATCTCAATGCGTGCCCAGAAATGCTCAGTGTTTTTCTTCTCCTTTGGCGAGCTTGTGCAAGTCGTGCCCATCAGATCACAACCCCCTTATGGGGCTCCCCAGGGTGTCCCATCCATCCCCACCCCACCCTGAGCAGCCGAAGAGCTGATGTACCAGGACTGCATGTAAAAGATCACTACCATAAAGTGTAAACCCACGGGAGAGTGGTGCTGGGGACGGGGAGGGATGCGGGGTGGAGCAGAGCCACCATTTCAAAGGCTTCTATGGCCACAGGATCAGCAATGCTCACCCCACCCAGCTGCAAAACACGTCCACCTACCTCTGTTGTTTTTTTGGTTTATTTTTTTTCAAAAAAATAAAATCCCTTCCAAAACCTGAAGGCCTTGCACCCCTCCCAGAGTGGTACCTGGCTGCGAGGTGTCGGTCTGGCCCCGCTTCGCCCGCACGCAGTATTCCCACCGGATTCCTGCATCCTGGACGTACTGCTCCAGGTCCTGGAAGAGGGCGGAGAAGGAGAGGCGGCTGGCCCGCTCGATGGTGTAGTAGAGCAGGGCT